AAGTCAGGGATCACTCATCAAAGACGTTAAATCACTTGAACAAGAAGCTGTTGTTTCACAGTTTTCTGTCTTTAAAACGTCGTCCATGGGGACATGTTAACCTGCTACTTACTTTGATGTGGACCTGAAAGAGTCCAGAGCTGCTGTCTGCAAATAGAAACACCCACAATGTCTCCCTCCTAGTTTTATATTCATCTTATTAAAAAGTATAAAAAAATAAAAAACAAATACACAATTAACAGAAACTTTAAAATAAAATCACATGGGAGTCCAAACACCAAAGAAATACATGTGACAAAAGAAACCCTTCTATGTGTTATACACACACTTTTAATTTTTAGTTATAACACACATTTATTTCTATGTTATTACGTGTTGATTAAACATTTGTGTGTGATCACATGTGTGATCTTGAGGGAAAAAATAGGGGAGACCGGGGTTGGGTTATCATTGTGCTTATTACAGACGATCTAAAGGGTGTAAAGGGATATCAAATATCAACACTGTGATGTCATCAGTGGGGTTTTTTTTGCTTTATTCTCCTAGACGGCCGAAACGTCTCACTGACAGACTGCGAGTGTACATCTTAGCTCGATGCTAACGCATAATGGAAATCACCACTAAAGGGTTAACAGAATTAGCATGGGGTAATTTTATAAATGATCTATTTGACTTAAAGGAATAGTTAAGTATTTTTGTAGAGACTGGGTAGTTTGAGGTTCTTGTCAATGGTATGTTTATTGATAAAATATCTCACTACTTTACTTTTCCACTAGCAAGCCACTTGATATTATCACAACTTCTGCACACCACATACAGGGTGCTCCGCCTGAAGCACACTGATAGGCTGTTTTGAAAGAGACAACAAAGACATCCAACTTAAAAATGAGCCAAGCCAACACAAAATAAAAATGTACTACTATTGACAAGTATACCTCATCAAAAATACTGAACTATCCATTTAACAATGTTCAATAAAACATTAGAACATCTACTTTCTTATCATCTCTTGTACAGTCTGTAACTCTACAGTTTTGTCATTTGTTAATAACCTCTAACCAGTGTGCTTCAGGAATTCTGCCCGAATGATCAGCAAATCAAGGGGGCGTCGCCATGACACCTGTCAATCATTCAAGTGAATGACCATACAGAGCTGTAAAATAATAATAAGACCATTTAGAGATATTTTGTGTTTCCCCTGTAAATATTAGGTTCAGTTGATACTCTATAAAACAATCTGTTTTAAGTTATAGAAGAATCATTTGATCATTTCTGTGTCATGAGAAAAGGAGGGCTGTCTCAGGATGGTATGCTTCTTATTGTCAGGACATGTTTCCTGGGGAAACAAACAAATTAGTGTTTGGACAACTTGTCTTTGTTAGAGGCTTTATATGTGATTTTTCACACTTAAATATAATATAAATCAAGTACATCCTCTGAAAATAACTCTGTGAGTCATGACTGTCTACAATGGGTGTAACACCCGAGTCCCACTGTCTGTGATGTTTTCAGAGTTTTCAGAGTCCTATCTTCACTTTGTTTACATCGCCCGGACGGCCGGCTGACTCCTCCCCTCACGTATAAAAGTTGTTTAATTGAGGGACTAGAGAAAAGAAGAATAACATACTGTACTCACTGCTTAACTGTGTTTCTAGATCACGCTCATTTCAGGTAAATTTACATGCAGTGTGAAGATACCAGCATAATAAAGATCACTAGCATTAGCATGCTAGCAAGTTGTTTTTGTTTTAATGCTGGTGCTCAAAGGCGACATCTGCTGGATCAAAAAATCACATATGAAGCCTTTAAGAGTCCTTTTAAGTCATTTTTAATCAAAAGTTTGTATGAATAAACATGTTATCACTCCAGGACTTGGTGACCTTTTTTTGATTGTTAAGGCCTGACGTGCCTGATTTTGCGGCACATCAATTTCAGGGAAAGGTTCAATATTTTCCGATTTTTAAACATCATCATCAACAACCATTAAATATATATGATTTCCAAGTAATTCTACACATTCATGCAAACACCAGCGAATTTCTAGATGTGTTTATCTTTGTAGCTCACTTGCCAGTTGATTACTTGTTCTTTGGTGTTACACCACATGCGTACAAGTTCAACCCGTCTTATGTGTAAAGGAATCAGGAAATCAACTTGAATGAAGTTCATTTTTGTTGTTTAAAAATTAGCTTTTCATGTCTCAAGTCTTCATCTTCTTAACAGATAAGATAGAAGTGAGTGAAATTATGTAAATGATTACACTTGGGGGATGGGCAAAGCTGATTGATCAAATATATGGATTACATTGCAAGGCCTCACAAAATGAATGGAGACTGGTTGAATTTGCATTAGCAGTTGAGATTGCGACATTGCAACCACAATAGAGACTAATTTGTCGTCAGATTCTTGAGCCTTTCTTACAAATTTACAAATCTCCTGAAAACTCCTAAAATGTTCAGGGTGGGCAGCATGTGTGAACGCAAACAGCCACGTTTTTTCACTCTTGACTTTACTCAGAATCTGTCCTGCCAGGGGGGGTGATATTATATATATATTATATCCTGCAAACTGGAGTGTGACTACAGACTGTAAAACCACACAGCTGGTAAGATCTCCATGCAACAAAACTGAACAGAAACGGCTACATAATGATATGTTCTTCTCCGCTCTCACTGATACTATTAGAAATGTTGAACAACACTTTGCACTGATATGAAGGTAAAACTTGCCATCATTGTGTCATTGTGTTGAAGTGTGTCTAACCCCCCCCACCCCACACACACACACACACACACACACACACACACACACACACACACACACACTCTCATCCCACATGGATAGTCTCCCACTGTGAGGTGAATGTGTGAACAAACAATCAGGAAGATTTCAGGGGCATGATATGTCCTCCAAATGTTCAGGAGTATGAAAATGCTAGCGTTGTTAAAGCATTGACAGCTCTTCACTTGAAGGCGGGGTTAGTTGTCTCAGGGTTTCACTAACTGTTACATTCATTATTTACTGCAAACAATATCAGACACTGTACATTCCTTCATGTCACTTCTTTTCATGAAAAATAATTCAAACGATCGTGGCGTGCAGGTTTAACATCCACGCAGCTAAAATTCTAATTCTTTGAATCTGAAGTCGATACATGAACTTCAAAGATGTTTTTTTTTTAATATAACACAATGTATATTTTGTGTTGTATCATATCTGATACATCAGGCATTGACATTTAAATATGCTGATTAAAAAATACTAGTACGATAATTAAAAACACAGTTTTTTTATTTTACCTCTGGAAGATTTTATTTGTCCCTCCTCTGAGACTCGCTTCTTTTCATTTTCCCCTTTATTGACTGTTTTTGTTGATGTTAGCTTTACTTATTTTCTTTCTAAATATGTACCAAAAAAATTCAATATTACTACATATAACATCTAAATTGATTATTGTTTGTGAAAATGAATTGAGAAAGGAAAGTTATGAGCAAGTGACCCATACACACATCAAATAACTCAAATATATATATATATATATATATATATATATATATATATATATATATATATATATAATATTCCAGGTTCCACTTTAAAGATACATTGCTTAATGGTATGTATTGTGTGAAACATGACCTTTAACCTCTGCTGTATCAAATTCACACATTTTCAACAAGATTTTTTTTTAAATAAGACAAGAAATAAAAGCATATGCCATGTTTCCTCAATCTAGTAAAATATTGAAGTTTCAGCTCCAATTTGAGTGTTTTTCTTCATATTTTCTAAAATTGACAAAAAGATCTATGAAATAAAATCCCATGTGTCACTGATTGACACCATGTGTTCTACAAAGATCATAGGAGCATGATTTATGTTGTCACCATGTATCTGTTTTATTGGTTTTTAGGGGAAAACACATCTCACTGAGGATGTAGAAGTCTTAAAAATGTTATGTGATTATTTCGGTTTTTATAAAAACAGACAAACAGAAAAAACATCAACATGTTTAGATGCTGACGTGTTCTTGATTTGAATTCCCCTCAAAATAAAAAAAATCAAACAAACAAAACGGTACAAATGTTGTTGTTTTTTAATATTTGGGTGGGTTTGGATAACATGGGACACACTGCCCCTGTGATTGGGGCTTTTAAAGGCTTAATAACTTGGTGTTTCAATAAGGCTCAATAATAATATTGAAAAGTGAAATCAATTAGAAAATGTAACTTAATGACTTTCGTGAGATGATGAGCAGAGAAGAAGGGTGACACTGGCAACAAAACCCCGGTTTCCCCTATGTTTCAACTTACATATGTGTTACACGTTTTTTTGTAATGTTTAGATGAACTTTAAATGTAATATAATTACCGAAGCAGGACCGGGATGAAGTTTTAAAACTTTCAAAGGAACAGGTGAACTCTTCCTTTAACGGTGACCTAAAAATATTTCCACATGACACACCAGTGTTCACAAAGCTTACAGTGTGTGAGCTGTTCAGTGACAATGACAGCCTACTTATCAGGCTGCAAACTCTCTATTTAGTCTTTCCATTGTGTTCTATAAGGACATGATTTCCCCGCAGCGCTCTTAAGTCCGAGCCTTTTTTTTTTCATCGCTTCAATTGGACCCGTGTTTTTTCCTGTTATTGTTCATTTATAGAACTGTCTCCTGTCCCGACACCACAGTCCGTTTCCCATTTTACATCCTCCCATACATCAATTATGATCTTCTGCTGCTGATAGTGAAGCCCCACACAAAGAAGTTCTTTATTAGAATAACTCTTTATTCTCCGATAAGAGAGCTATTATTTAGTTTGAAGAAAGAGCCAGTGTGTGTGTGTGTGTGTGTGTGTGTGTGTGTGTGTGTGTGTGTGTGTGTGTGTGTGTGTGTGTGTGTGTGTGTGTGTGTGTGTGTGTGTGTGTGTGTGAGTGATGTAATGCGTCTGCAGGTATAAATATAGCGGCATGGCTGCAGCGCGCATTGCGCCGCTCGGTCTGGGAATGAGCCGCTGCGTCTTCTTCGTCTTCTTCTCGCTTCACTGGAAAGACAAACGCCGGGAGGCTGCTGCTCTCACAGCCAGACCCGGGATGGGCTCTCTGTCGGCCCTGCGGACGGTCCTGGTGCTGGCTCTGGTGGTCGGACTGACGGGATGCGCCCCCGGCCTGAATGGCACGGCGGAGCGCTGGGAGGCCATGTACTCACGCTCCCTGGCGCGGATCCCGGGGGAGAAGCGCGAGGAGATGGGCCGGGACAGCAACTACCTGCAAGGCATTAAACGTCTGCGGAGACTCTACTGCAACGTGGGCATCGGCTTCCACATCCAGGTGTTACCGGACGGAAAAATAATGGGAGTTCACAACGAAAACCGTCACAGTAAGTTTGACCAAGTATCATAAAATAAAATAAAACAAGAACCTGCTGATTATTTCACTTTACACTTTAGACGCGCTGATTGGTGGAATGACTTTTCACCGTTTAAATAACTTTGATAACAAAAAAGGTGATTGTAAATTTGAGACAATCCAATCCTCTATATAAAACACAATTAAGCCAAATTCTTACAGTGTGTTTTTACTCTCTAACACCTCTCCTTCTCCCTCTGATGAGATGCTTCAGTCAGTGAAGTTTGCAGTTATTGATCCGTGCATTTAGTAGCAACATCTGGATCCTGTCCTGCCGCAGTGCCTCTGAGCAGATCCGTGCCATGTGTAACCAGAGCCTGCAGTGACTCAGACAGATCCTAAAGTTAGGACACAGCTGCTCTAAGAGACATGTTCACTCCAGCAGAGACAGAAACACCACTGAAGAAGAGTTTACTAATGTTTAGTCCCCAGATGTAATAATCCTCCTGTGACTGTGATGCTTAGTGCACCTCCGGACTATTTTTGAGATGAGGCAGATATTTTAGGGGACGTCAAGAAGTCACTTTAAAGCTTTTATTAAGTGGGAACAAAGAAAAAACTAAAAACACATCATCAGTACATCTTAAAATCTTAAAAGTTATTTCCATCCAGAATCATCCACATCCGTGTTTTTCTTAAACTGTGTGAAGTAATTGTGTCCTGTCTGGTTCTAGTGTGAGTTTTAAAATGGGTTTAAAAGAAAAAAAAAGATTTTAAACAGGATTTGATTTTGCTTTAATGTAAAACTGGACAGTAAATCATCTGTTTGTGAAAGGGATCCGTCCTGCTCAGAGCCACACCTGCAGCAGCAACACCTGCAGCATCAATGTGAGCAGCAACTGTAGATCCCTCCATCATTCTCCAGTGTGTGTGTTTCTGAGTGTGCATTATTTGTCTCTCTGCAGGTCTGCTGGAGATCTCTCCGGTAGAGAGAGGCGTGGTGACTCTGCTGGGCGTCCGGAGCAGACTCTTTGTGGCCATGAACCGTAAAGGGAAGCTGTACGGATCTGTGAGTGTGCACCAATACGGAGACACAAAAAACACAGTGTCGACATGCAACACAAACACATTGTCTGACACACAGCACGTACACACTCTGTCTGACACACACACACATTTTTGCTCAAAACAATGAAAACGATGGTGACTCATTAAGAAAAACTTTCTTTTAGTCAAATAGTTTGAACCAGTCTCGTTGTGGTTTATGAATCTGAGAGATTTGGGAGTGTTTGTACATTACACTCAGTCTAAAACAGAAACATTCAGTCTGAGGGATGATGTTTGCTGTTTTAACTTGTGACACCAATCTGTACTTGATCTGTTTGATTTAAAGGAACAGTTTATACATGCTCAGTTACAACATTACATTTTAACACTTTGAGGGGTTTTCACGAGTTTGGACAGAAATGAGTAAGGGAATGAGTGATTCAAGGTTTAAACTCAGGAGGAAATAGCCCAAGAGTGACCTTATATTACAATAATGTTAAGGCCATATCAGATTTGATGTATTACATTACATTACACTGAACCCTTACTGTTCACACTGCACTCTGTGTCAAACTTTATGGACACATTTTGAACTTTTTTCATCACAGCAAGTTACACATGCATTCTGGTGACAGAAAAACAGTGAGGTCAAGTAGAAAGAAACACAGAGATAAAGGCCAGATGCGTGTTTTAGGGGAATAAATGTCTTGTTGCACCGTTGGATGTCAGCATAGGAACGTGAAAAAAACATGAAACCAGTTTCTATAGAATATTGTTGTTGAAGATCTAAGAAGGAGAATGCAGATGTCTAGCTGAGTTTATGTCTTTGCATCTGGCCAGGCAGTATGTTGGAATCTTAACACACAGAAACCATCTGCCAAATTTCAATATTTAACATCCTGGAGATTACTGCAAAGTACACAATTGTATGTGTCAAGAGATCTTTTTTTCCACAAGGTAGCTATAAGAGGATGTCCGGTGTGTCACGGTTTAACTGGTGTCAAATAAACTCTGTGATACTCCGGCAGATGTTGGGAAGGAGCGGCTTTAGATGACCCTCCCATCAAAATAACGTTGGACATCATACATCCGACTTGCAGATGCTTGTTTAAAACAATGTGGTGACCCACGCTGACTAGACTCTTCTCCTCTGTTGCCCCCCGGTGGTGGAATGAACTTCCAAACTCCATTGGATCTGCAGAGTCCCTCTGCACCTTTAAGAAAAAGCTAAAGACCCAGCTCTTTCATGAATACCTACTAACTTAATGATGATGGTCTCCATATTATTGATGATGATGATGGTAATGATGATGGTTTTTGTTTGATAACGATGACTTATAAGATGGTTTCTATACTGATTAGCGCTCTCAAGAACTGATTGTGCTGAATTGTGCTTTGCCTCTGGTCACTTCCTGTCAGCACCTGTGTGTCCAATCAGACTCAAAGCTGATTGTTTGCTCTTACTGACATTGTTCCCTTTTATTTTCTAGATCCTTGCTTGTGTTGTACTTACTCTCTGATGTACGTCGCTTTGGATAAAAGCGTCTGCTAAGTGAATTGTAGAATTGTAGACCTGTTAAAAAAACTCTTGTCTGTTTCCCTTACAAACAAAAACTGAATCAGACTCATGATTTGTGCATCACTATATGTCTAAGTTTACAAACACTGTATAGTACACATGACCACTCTGAAATCACCAACTGGGTCAAAACATTTTGTCTATCACCATCCTGTTTTTTTTTGGAGCCAGAATCGACTGCATTTGGAGGAGAGAGTGGAGCTGTAAAGGAGAGAGGAGTTAGCAACATTAAATGGTGTAGACCCACTGCTAAAAAAAAAAAAAAACCTTCGCTTTAGAATATGCAAGCCAGGTCCACTGCTCACCTGTTGTCTAGACTTAAATAATTTTTCAATAAAAACTGCACTTCTTAAAGTTTCTCTTCCAACCAGTATGTCACCATTTTCATGGTGTGACAAATTTTGACACAATGAAGAAGTTAGCTGTTACGAAGTGACACCATCAACCTGGGCTGTGCAGCGAGCTGTCTGCAAAGCATGCTGGGAAGCCCACTGCTAAACCAAGAAGGTGTTGGTACTTTTTATTATATTCAATTTTGAACTCGTATGCATGCATTAAGCGACAAGACGGAGGACAGAGAAGGAATTCAGAGAGAGTGGGCAAACACATGTAGGAAAGCAGCTGTGAGTCTGACTTGTCCCCCGTGCCACTCACTAGAGGACAACAGTCTCCGTAAATGGGGTGCAACCTAACAGCTAGGCTATCTGGGCGCAAGTGGTGCCCCTTTTTTAAAAGCTTTCTCCCTCATTGTGTCAAAAACTTCCACATGAAGACAGTGGTGATATATCTGATAAAAAAAAACCTTATGGAGGTGAAGTTTTATTGAAAATACTCTTCATTTCAAGACAGCCAAGTGGGTGGCTTGTCTCGAGGTTTGCACAGCTAAGCTAGTGCTCGCTCTATTGCAAGCTGCTTTACAGTAATAACTTCTGCAACTATGATACTGCTGATTGGGTTGTTAGTATTTGGCTCACTAAGAACAGGTTTTAAACAAAACTTTATTACTGACCAAATGATCACCAAACATTATTCAGGTCTTTGTGGAAATGATTGGCCAATCGCAGGTAGCCCTGCTCTGACTCCGCCCCTGCTTTGTGGTGTGTTTGACTCTAAGTGGGACCTTAATTTACTGAATGAACATCATGCTGTAAATCAGAATACTTAAAGCTAGAGATGGAGAATATGAACTCATTAGTAGGACCATTTTCTCAAAGACTTCTACAATCTGACTGCTTTTTTACAACCTGTTATGTCGCCCCCTGCTGGATGCAGAGAAAAGCAGTTTGTCTCTTCAGTCGATTTGATGTTCTCGTAACTCAAGTTCTACAATTCTACAATTCACTTAGCAGACGCTTTTATCCAAAGCTTGTTACTGCTATACTTTCCATCCACAGAGCACTTTGGTGAATGCAACAATGGAATTTGTATTTTTTAATTAAACGCTCCAGAATAGCTTCACTTATTTGCCTGAGATTTTACATCCACTTTATTCAGTCTGTGTTTATACTCAGGAACTTTGCCCATGGGCAACTATTGGCTGGGTTACGAGAAAAGAGGTTTCTGAATAGACAGCAGAATGAAAGGACAACTTTGTCTGCAGCAGTCGGCAGATCTCAGGTTGATAGATACAGTCTACATCGTGTGAGTCGGACTCCAGCTCGTCATGTCGTTGTGACAGACTACAGATGTTTTACAACGGCTGATTTCTGTGTTTGGTAGCACTGAGTTGTAAATTGAAAGAACTGTTTAGGGTTCATCTTACACTCCCCTCTGAAGTACTCAGAAGAATCTACGCCGGTCCAGACACTTGGGAAAAAAATGCTTTTTGAAGTAGTGTTTCGTTAGTCTTTTGTCGGCCTGCTGGCAGAGCAACATGGCCGACTCTTTGGCTCTGTGGCTTTTTACAAATCTTCATCATGATGTAGTTATTTCAGCATCCGACAGCCGGTTTATTGTAACTGTAAATTGTAAATAAAATACTTTCATTTTGGGTTCATTGCTGTAGTTAGGCAGATTTCAGACTTGTTATATACAATACAATGAAACTGTCACTCAGTTTCACAGCTGAAACAGAAAGCCGCAAGAAATCTTGAAAATTTTTGAAAAAGCTGTCTCAACCAAACATTCGATCAACCTAGTAACAGGCAAATAGGTGGATCTGAGGCGGGCCTTAAGGCTTCTGACCAACAGCTACAACACATCTGCTCACAGTCATATCAGTGTCGTGTAACAACTTGTTATATACTTGTTATATAAAAAGTGCCGATCTTCGCTAACAGTTCATCAAACTGGGACCTGGTCAGCCTCACACAGCTGAAAGCAGACGAAAAATTCATTCAGCTACAGTTCACAGAGGAGGAGGAGAGATTAACCTATCTGTGATGGTAACAACACTGACAGGATGATGTTTGGCTTTCAGACAAAGAAACAGCGTCTCTGTGCGACAGTAATGTTTTTCGCATGATGATCCATTAGGCAGTAATTTAGGGCAAAATGTGCCCCTTTCTAAGCAGATCATCCTCATTCAAAGGCATCTAATTCATAAAATACCAACGCTTACAGCACAACCCAATTAGACTGGAGCAAAAACCATCTGTGGTGGTTGGTGGTAACTGCGCCACAGTATTTATAACAGATGTTGATCACAAACTTTCCAGTGATCAGGAAAACAATTACACCTCTGTATGTCTTGAAAATAAATGATTTTGTGACACTAGAATAATTCATACAACCATGGGTTAAATCATTCTGTGGCTACAAACTTCATCCACATATCCCAACCTGTTCTTACTGAGCAGGCCGAGAGTGTGTCAAGCAATAGTACTACATACACAACAATGATTTCCAGCTGACCGAGTAAAAACAGTCGACTCAGAGCCTGGTGTCCTGAGTCCTGCCTCACTCACATCATTCATCATTTCAGAGTCGGACTTTTGTGATTGAAGCAGCTGCTACAATAGCCCTGCAGTCAGAAATAAAGCAATTGTTTGATAGAAATCACCATGAACAATATCAAAAATTCCCCACTGCTTTGTTTTGTCTTTGCCGATGAACAATCAGCATTTTTTGAAAATAATTTGATATCTCTCCCATCTCTTTTCTTCCAGTTACACTTCAACAACGAGTGCAAGTTCAAGGAGAAGCTCCTCGCCAACAACTACAACGCCTATGAGTCGGCCATCTACCCAAAGATGTACATCGGCCTGAGTAAGAGCGGCAAAACAAAACGAGGAAACCGAGTGTCCCCCGCCATGACGGTGACACATTTCTTACCCAGAATCTAGAGGCATCAGAAATAGACTTCACCTCAATATGGAGACAAGGGAGGGGGGGGGGGGCTCCACCAAACCATGATGCACTTTCACCACAAGCTTTATGCAAGTGTATCATATCTGATCTTATATTTTCAATTTCTATATTTTTTATTTATGTTTAACAGCAGTTTTTGTATTTTTTTTCTAGAACGTGTTTTCTCTAAGAGTCAAATGATTATTTATGTTTTCATTTTCTAATTTATCAGAGATTTTGCTGCTATGTTATGAAATCAATGGATGTTTTTGCACTGAAATATACCCAGCAGTGCACAACAGACATTTTGACTTAACTATGTTTTTTTTTTAAATATTTAAAACCTTTTAAGTGAAGGTGTAAACACAGAAATGTTTGGCGTCAGAAGTTGCACTGATTGCCCAACACTCGGCCCCCTTTGTGTGGCACTGGAGCCTAATTGAAACAGTATCATCTTACTTGACGGACGGAGAGAGAGAGAGAGAGAGAGAGACGAAGAACCCCTTCCACCTCCTCTGGTCTGTTTATAGCTCTGCCGGGGGGGGTGAACTCTGAACTTTTCTGCCATCCATCTCGGTCAGAGCTATATGACTGCAGATAGAGAGACATCCTCTCTGACATTATACGAGCAGGGAATTTGGGAGTTTAAAGGCAAGGTCAAAGTGCTGTAATGTGACAGAGTAACCTTGACTGTGGATTTTTTTTTTTTATGTCAGGTCATTTCTGATTGTCCACTAGCGGTTGGACTTGAAGACATGTGTCCACCTGGTGGGTCTTCACACATGCGCTCCTGAAGATTGTCATGAAGGCTGCCCCTGAAATCTACCTAGGTTGCTTATTCACGTATGCACTTCACAATAGGAGGCTATCTCTGTGTCGGATGAAGGGGTGAGGGGGTGTCACAGGAGGTGGTACATTACATAAAAAGGCGCTTTATAAATGGTGGATGAGTCCATGTCCATGACAGTTTGTGCCATAGACAGTATAAAATATGGACATAGTCTCAGTGATGTCACCCATTGGTTTCTGAAGAGGCCCTTTAAAGGCTTTACATGTGATTTTTCACACTTAAATATAATATAAATCAAGTATATCCTCTGAAAATAACTCTGTGAGTCATGACTGTCTACAATGGGTGTAACACCTGAGTCCCACCGTCTGTGATGTTTTCAGAGTTTTCAGAGTCCTATCTTCAGTTTGTTTACATCGCCGGGACGGCCAGCTGACTCCTCCCCTCGTGTATAAAAGTTGTTTAATTGAGGGACTAGAGAAAAGAAGAATAACATACTGTACGCACTGCTTAACTGTGTTTCTAGATCACGCTCATTTCAGGTAAATTTACATGCAGTGTGAAGATACGAGCATAATAAAGATCGCTAGCATTAGCATGCTAACACAACAATGCAGCGCAAGTTGTTTTGGTTTCATGCTGGTGCTCAAGGGCGTCATCTGCTGGATCCAAAAATCACATGTGTGTGCCAATAAAAATATTGGATATTCAGACCAAATTTTGTTTTTGTACCTGGCTGTACACACGTTAAATTCTGCTACTTAGTTGATGAGTAAACAATAATATCCAGCATCTGACATAAAACATCGATGGTGAATACCCTTCAAAATATTAAGTTTTAGTGAACTTTGCTGTCCAAATGATTATTTTTGTACGAGGCTTTCTCTCTCTTTTTTTCTGGTCTTTAGTGCTAAGCTAGGCTAACAGGCTGTTGTACACATCTGACTCTCAGCAGAAAAGGATGACATATACTTCCAAACATGTGGAACTATTTCTGTAATGATCTTATATCTTGATCTAAGTCTTTCCTCCAGCTTTTCAGGACTTCTCAGGCCATAGATCAGTGTCACTCTCTTAAGTGTGTTTCCCCTCCGGGTCACTTCCTGCCGCAGTGATGAACAACAACACACTCAGGAGAAAATAAACTCACAAATAAACACTGTTGAGCACACAAACTTTTGGCGCACTTCCGGTACGACCAAAATTCCAGTTCCCTCCTCTCTTTCACAGTCTTTTGATTTAATAGCATTAGCACATATATGAGCTGAGTTTATAATTCCCAGACTCCTTCTTGAGTCAGTCTCCTCTCTGTCTCTCTCTCTCTCTCTCTCTTTCTGTGAGTCTCTGTTGTTGACTTCAGCTCAGCTCCGGTGGCCATGTTGTCCTGGTTGCGCCTTGTCACGTTCCGGCTATCTTTACCCCGTGATTTACTTTTAGAAAGGATAATCATGGGAGAAATATTTACGGACAGCTGTTGGACTGTACTATATGCTCAGGCCAGTAACCCTATATTTTTCTCTATATATTTGTAAATATATCTTCTGAGTAACTGAAGGTGCTGGTATTCCTTTCAGGGGGGAAGGCCAGTTTTAAACCAACAGGGTGGGAAAGACACCACGTTTGATTCATTAATAGATTAAATCACTAATCATCAATAACCCAACACATAGGGTGAGAGGAAGGTGATCACATTAAACCTGTTTTTGCTTTTTTCTTTTCAGATGTTTATTGAGGAGATTTAAAATCTCTGTGTCAACATTCCTCCTGTTATAGCTAACATTGTGCCTCCTGTCAGGGATTGTTAATGTTTTTTTCTGCTAAGCATGAGTGCCTCCAGTAGAAGTAATGATGTATTAGCACAGAGGCCGGGCCACGCTGAATGCACACGCTAGGTATTAAGTTGCAAATAGCTCAAGCAAATATCATGCAAAACTGTTTGTGGCTTAAGGCTGTGATTCGTGCAAACAGGACGGTCGGATGTCCAGACTCCTCGGAGTTATGCGGGCTCAGTGTGGACATACATGTCATTGTGCACATTGTCCGAATAAGTCCTGTTAACATCTCCTGTTTCAGTACAGTCCTTTTGAACCTCCTCTCCTTGTCTTAGCTGGTTCTGCAGCCGTGCGTGCAGGTAACCTTGTGTGTCTGCTGCTCACAGCTGTGCGCACTTGCTCTCCAGTATCGCTGCTTTGCATGGCGGGCATCATGTTTACAGTAGAAAAAAAACCTCTGACCCAGGATCAGGCCCCTTCTCCTTCTACTCATTTGGTTATTCAGCTACAATCACAACAACAACAGCAGCAACAGCAGTCTGTCTGCTCTGAGGCCTCCAGTGATTCACAGGTTACTCTGCTGTATGCTGCTCACAGATTAACCTCCTTATCTGTCACTGTTTTTAAATCTGGGCTCTATCTTCACATATGTTGGGGTCTTAATAGTCTTAATGGTTACAACAATTTTTTGAGTTGTTTTAGTTGATTCTTTAACTGGCAAATGTGCCTGATTAAAATATGTGACTAAACGTTGCTTATTGTCAGTGACAGGCTCAAGTGTCTGACAACATTGCAGAAAGGAACCCTACACAGAGAAAGAGATTTTTTAATTTCTTTTAAAGAGAGAGATGATTTCTAAGGACAGACAGATGTTTCCTTAGACTCCATTGATAAAACCCAATAATTGTTGTCCCACTTATCAAGACCTGCTGATCTACTGCTGCCTTTATCAGTTAGTTTGTTTTTGTTCTCTTATAGTTGGGTAGTTATTTAGTCTGTGTGTGCTGAACACATATGTTTGATTAATCTTTAAACCATTAAAAAACAGCCAAAGTCAATGAAATAGCCAGTCAAAAATCTTCTCCCTCCTTAACAAAAGGTCTATCTCTGTATGGATCCTCTCTGTATCTTACCCAGCAGGCATTGGGTGCCCCTAAAAGAACAATTTCCCTGAAGTCTGTGTAAAGCAATAACAATAGAAAACATGCAATTTAAATTTTTTTATTCAATGGAAGACTGTGTTATTAACAAACCAGAAAGAAAAATTGCTAAGTATATAAAAAATATTTTTTGAAATCATGAAAGAAAAGGCAGTCATTTCTGCTATGAGATGCTGTAGGCGTGTTAACGACAGAGCCACGCCCACTCAGAAAGACATGCCTATCTAACTCACAAGGGGGGGGGGGGCAGGGTTATGCTCGATAAAAACCTGAACCTTACAGCTAATTATTAAAACTTTTTTAATGATCTAAATCCACGATTCAAACATAGTTAACAGTCTTTTCACACATTTACAGCAACTTTTTTTTAAACATAGATTTGTTGTTTCGAGACCAACTTCTGATATTTTTTTTACATGGACTTTAAGAGCGCCCCAATAGGAATCTGTAAGAAAACAAGAACACCGTCTCTTTGTGTTGATGTGAAGTTACTAAAATGTAAATTGTATGAACACACAGAGAGAAAAGGGGAATCAGATGTGTGTAAATCTGGATGCAGTGATGCATTAAGTGGAAAGTGAGACTGCCCCTTTAAAGTTTAAAATAACAGTGAACATGGTTGAGTTTTGGAGTCATATTGAGTGACAATCAGCAAGTTGATCTTCAGGACAAGATCCCGTCATAATAAAACTGTACACATGTCTGGACTGTAGATATAAATATGTCTTTGTCATGACGGGGTGATGTGATGCTGTTCAATGATTCTGAGTCCTGTGGTCTTATGACAACTTTGTAACTATTATTTGAATCATTTTATTGTCCTGTAGTTTTATACAGGGCCAAATAAAATATCTCTGTATGTGCTGTGCACATAGAAAGGCTTAAGGGAAAATAAAACCAGGATGTTGTATGTATGTGTGTAATCTGTATTTTTTTGTGAGATCTTTTATGACACTGCTTTTTCAATTAAAGAAATACGAATAAGTGATGCTGCATTCCTTTGAGTGTTTTTTTTAAATGTTGTTCAATTGTTGTTTTTATGCATTACACAGAAAATGTGGAAATAAAATGTACTTAGTATAACGAGAATTTAAGTCCCACAGAGCGACCACAATGAATGAAAATGAGGTTGTATTTTCAACACACACACAGATGTGATGTTTACATGTCAGCGAGTGAATGCTGCTAAAAACAATAAAACCCCAGCTTGTCCTCGACTTTAGTCTGCGTCACTCTTGAAGACCAAACTTTCTAATTCTTCACATTTGACTCTGGTGATCTTTTAACCTT